ATTCACTTGGAGAAGCTAAAAAAAGGGTCAAGCTTCTTGGAGAAGCTAAAAAAAGGGTCAAAAGGTTCAAGTTTCTTAGAGAAGCTAAAAAAAAGGTTAAGCTTCTTGGAGAGCTAAAAAGGGTCAAGCTTCTTGGAGAGCAAAAGAGGTCAAGCTTCTGGAAAGCTAAAAAAGGTCAAAAGGGTCAAGCTCCCTCAAGAAAAGGTCTCGGTTAGGACAAGTGGCCGATTGATCAACAACAGTGGCCGGCCGGCCAAACATAATGCCGACCGACCATCAAGAGTGCCGACCGGCCATCACCAATGGCCGGTGGCCAGGAACAAGAAATAAATAAATGATTACCATGAGGCTAGCTGCTTATGTGATATAACTGCTTGAATGCCTGTGGATGGAGGTTGAATTACCTAAATTGGGATAACGCATTAAAACTGTGAGTTTTAAGCCCACTAGATAGTGGCAAAACCATCTTTTCTGGAAGCCCACTCGAGGGTGGCAAAACTTGCATTTTAGCCTACTTGCGAGTAGCAAACCATCTTCAAAACGAACATGCAATGTTTTGTTCTAATTTAGGCGATTTGGTCTATACTTGTTTGCTGTGCGCATAACATAGTAATTCTAGGCTAATAAATGGAATAAGAGCGCATAACGTTTTCAAAAACGGATATCATGGTTAGTAGAGGCCGATCTTCGGATCGGGCGAGAGGGGGTGCTCATAGCTGACCTTCCCCAATCGTACCCAAGTTCCCGAGCCGAGGCAACTTTGGTGATGACGGACACGTGGCCTTTGGCACCGAGTCAGGGTTTCCTAAATTCCCCCAAAAATAAAATATTTAGGTGGCGACTCTGTATCTGGCAAAGTAGTCCATGTTTGGCACTTCTTTCAAAAAAATCTGTTTTCTCAAAACGATTTGCCGGATTTGGACTCTTTGGTTCAAATTAAGGACCGCGACACAAATTGAGTCTGAACTGTAGCGATGGCCCCACGCGGCCGCGTCTACAGTGATTGATCATTATGGCCGAGATTGAGGCTAAGGCTATGGTTGTGGATAAAGATGATGACATGCCTAAATATATCACTACAAAGAAATTGAATGGTGCCAACTACTTATCTTGGGCTTATGTAATCAAAATTTTCTTGCGTGGCAAGAAGAAATCCTACTTCCTTAGCAAACTCCCTCTTGCCATTGATGGTAAAGCATATGATAATTGGTGTAGTGAGGATTCTTGTGTTATGGGTTGAATTTGGCACAGTTTGGAGCCACATGTTGCCACTACCATAGAATTTTGTGATACCTCTAAGGAAATATGGGACTCCCTTGCTGAATCTTTTCGAATTAGAGTAATGTCTCTCGGGTCTATGAGTTATATGAGTAGATCTTTGCTATGTGCCAATCTGACCGGTCTCTTCCCGAGTATTATAGTAGTCGTAAGACCTTGTGGGATCAGTTATTGTAGCATCAACTCTACACTACAGATGTAAACAAACAAATGCAACATTGCGAGAAGTTTATGGTGGCTTCTTTACTCTCCGGCTTATATCCTAAATTACGAGGGTTCAAGGATTAGATTCTTGCCAGTGAGACTCTCTCTTCTGCTGCTAATGCCTATTCTCAGCTGTTACGTTCTTCCTTGGGTCAAGCACAACTACCACTGTGTCCTCTACTTTGTCATCGTCTACAATGGTCTCTAGTAGTGGAGATCATAGGCCTACTCGAGGGGGTTTTCATGACCCATCTGGCCCGTGGGGCTCTTCTTACAGTTCACGAGGTTCTCGTGGAGGTGGTTCCCTTGGTGGTGCATCTCGTGGTGGTGGTTCTCGTGGTGGGGTTAGTAATGGACCTGGCTCTCGCACACATGGTGAGCACAAGTGTACTCATTATGGTTCTCAAGGTCATACTGAACCTATGGCAAACCTGACCATATGCTTCAAGTTATGGATGCTCCATCCTCACAGTCCTCCTTATTTTCCATTGGTTCTATTGCTTCTCCAATTGATTCTTATGAGACACTCACTACTCAGATTAGTGAACTTACTACTCTTGTCCAATCTCTTCGACCTAGTATACATCTATCCTCTACCACTACTCTAGCTAGTTCAGGTAATATTGCATGTGTGGCTAAGTCTACTCAGCCTTGGCTCCTAGACTCTAGTGCTAGTTCCCATATCTCTGCTAATTCTTCTCTTTTTGATAATCTGAGGCATGTTGATCATACTATTATACTTGTTGATGGATAATCTCGCCCTGTTAGTGGTCAAGGTCCTTTTCACCCCACTTCATCTCTTTCCTTACCCTCTGGTCTCTATGTTCCTAAGTTTCCATTTAATTTGCTTATTGTTAGCTAATTAACTCAAGCTCTCCACTGTTCTGTAACCTTTTCTCCCACTTCATGTATTTTGCAGAACCTCCAAACCAAGAGAATGATTGGTTCGGGGCATGAGAAGGATGGTTTATAATTTTTGGACACTGAGATTCCTTCTCATCCTCCATCTACTGTGTTGAGCACACTGAGATTTCTCTTCAGCGGTATTTCCGCTTGGGTCATCCCTCTTTGGCTATGCTCAAGTTAGTTGTTCTTAGTTTGAGTCATGTTTCTCAAATTGAGTGTGAAGCCTTTCATTTTGGAAAACATTACCGTAGTTCTTTTCCTAGTAGAAGTGTTAGTCATTTGTCTGAGTCTTTTGTTCTTGTCCATACAGATATCTGGGGTCCTTCTAGAACACCCACTGTTAATGGTTTTTTTATTTTTTTTATTTTGTTATTTTTGTGGATGATTACTCTCGGATGACTTGGTTGTTTTTAATGAAACAGAGATCTGATTTGCCTTCTATTTTCTCTAAGTTTTATAATGAAATCTTTACTCGATTTGGGAAATATATTAAGATATTTTGGCTTGATAATGCCTTAGAATATGTGCAGTCTATTGTGACTACCTTTTGTGATGCTTGTGGTATTATTCGTTAGACTAGTTGTTCTCTTACATCTCCTCAAAATGGTGTTGCGGAGTGTAAACACCATCATTTGTTAGATGTTGCTCACACACTGATTTTTAATATGCATGTTCCCAAACAATATTGGGGCGATGCTGTTCTGACCTCTTGTTTTCTTATTACCGTATGCCTTCTAGTGTTGTACACACGTCTCCCTATTCTCAGTTATATCCCACATCGTCTCATTTTCCCTTGTCACCTTGTGTTTTTTATTGTGTGGCCTTTTTCCATGTTCTTGAACCCGGCTTAGATAAGTTATCTCCTCGTGCTCGCAAGTGTGTTCTTAGGCTACTCTCGTACTCAAAAAGGGTATCGATGTTATCATCCTGAGTCACGTCAATACTTTATCAGCACTGATGTTACCTTTTTTGAGTCCACTCCTTTTTCTCTTCCTCTGGGCAACAGTTATCCATTGATCTTCTCTCTTGTCGTGTGGGGGAGTCAACTTCTCTCACCCTTACTCTTCCGTCTTGTGTTCTTTCCTCCTCTACTTCTATATCCTCTCCCTCTAGTCTTCCCGTTACCCCTCCTTTGCAGGTTTATCAAAGGTCTCAAGCTCGTCGTATTTGTATCTTATGGCCTGACCAATTCATCTCCTTCGTCTGAGGTTCCTGCCTCCCCTATTCCATCTGCTGATATGCCCTCTGATGACCTTCCTATTGCCCTCCGCAAAGGTAAACGTACTTGCACTCAACATCCTATTGCTAATTTTGTTTTTTATGGTCACCTCTCTCCTGGTCTTCACTCCTTTACTTGTAGCTTGCCTAGTATTCCTATTCCTCGTTCCTATCAGCAGACTATGTCCATCTTCGGTTGGAAGCATGCAATGGACGAGGAAATGCATGCCCTTCATCAGAATCAAACATGGGAACTTACCCCTCTACCTTCTGGCAAATCTAGTGTGGGTTGTCATTGGATTTATACTGTTAAGTATCTTCCTGATGGAATTGTTAAGCGGCTTACGACTCGCCTGGTAGCCAAAGGCTACACACAAACCTATAGTGTTGATCACTTGGAGACTCTCTCCTTTGGCACGCCTTAATTCTGTTCGGATCCTTCTCTCCGTTGCAGTTAGTCAATCTTGGCCTTTGTATCAACTTGATATCAAGAATGCCTTTCGTTATGGTGATCTCCAAGAGGAGGTCTATATGGATCATCCCCTAACTATGTTGTTCCCGGTCATGAGCATCTTGTTTGTCGATTGCAGAAGGCCTTGTATGGTCTTAAGCAGTCCCCTCGTGCCTGGTTTGATCGTTTCAGTGTTATTATGCTTGCCTATGATTTTCACTGTTCCACTTTTGATCACTCTGTCTTTGTTCGACACTCATTTCTGGGGAGTATTGTTTTTATTGTCTATGGCAATGACATAATCATTTTTGGTAGTGACTCCACTGGTATTGTTGATTTGAAGTGGTATTTGAGCCAACAATTTCTCACCAAAGACTTAGGTCATCGTTGTTTTTTTCTTGGGATTGAAATTGCTTGCTCTTCTCAGGGATTGTTTCTCTCCCAACGGAAGTATGTTCTTGATCTCCTCACTAAGACTGTCCTCTTAGGCGCTCGCCTTAGTGATACTTCCATGGATTCTAATGTCAAATTTGATGGTGAAACCGGAGACTTGTTTCCTGATATTGGTCGTTATCGTCGGTTGGTTGGGAAGTTAATCTATCTCCCTGTCACTCATCCTGATATTACGTATGTCGTGGGTATGGTTAGTAAGTTTATGCATGCTCCCTGCCAACCCTATTTTGCTGCTGTGTGTCGCATTTTCTAGTACTTAAAGAGTGCCCTCGGTCGGGGTTTGCTATATCACCCATCTTCCTCGTTATCTGTCACTAGCTTCAGTGATGCTGATTGGGTTGGTGATAAGACTGACCACCATTCCACCTCGGGCTATTGTACCTTTGTTGGTGGTAATCTTGTTGCTTGGCATAGCAAGAAACAGCCTGTTGTTGCTCGTTCTAGTGTCGAGGTTGAGTGACGTGCCATGGCTCATACTGCTTCTGAGATGCTCTGGGTTTAGTCTCTTCTTCGGGATTTTGGTTTTTCTGTTCTCACTCCTATATGAGTATGTCTTATCATAATCAGGCTGCTATCTTCATTGCCAATAATCCCGTGTTCCATTAACGAATCAAACACATCGAAGTTGATTATCATTTTATCTGTGATCTCTTACTACGCAAGCAGCTTGTGGCTCCTTATGTTCGTTCTGAAGATCAATTAGAAGCCTACTCAACATGACACATCAGCAGCTGAGTCATCTTCTCAACATACGCAAGCAGCTTGTGGCTCCTTATGTTCGTTCTGAAGATCAATTAGGTGATATTCTCACTAAATCTTTGACTCGGTCTTCGTTTCATCGTTTATCCGTCAAGCGCATGTTTGACCTCTATGCGTCCTTCTGTTAATATTTACTTAAGTTGAAAGTATGATGGCCATTTCACCATGTCAGGGTTTATATATATTTTTTGCTGATGTAGAGTTAATATTCCAATTCCAGATATATAAAATCTCTCTCTCTCTTCTTCTTCTTTCTCTTCCTCTTAAACCCTATAAGCCCTAACCCTGAATTTCTTCATTATTCATTCTAACTTATACTTTTTTTTCGTTTGTTGATAAATGTATATTATACTGTCACTGTTAACACCTTCTTTGTAGGCCCTCCCTTGTTTGCCAAATTTATCATCATATGAGAGTTCAAATGCTTTGGGATCAATGCGATTAGGGAAGTATACAGAGGTGATCACTTTCTTCATTTATTGAAGCATGATTAATGTTGTTGTTCTTGGATATCATATAATCATATGTGGCTATTCTTGTGCAGTGGTTTAATGATGTATTCTCAACTGATATTTCTGAAAAGTGTGAAAGCATTCTTACTCTACTTTCGGAAAAGCATGGGTGCAAAGTAAGTCCATGACCCCTATTATGTGCTTGTATTGTCTTTCTCATTCATTGTTATTGTTCATGACACGAACTATCTACATTGATTTAGGATTAGGACAAATTTATATTTACTCTTTTCTAAATTCAACTGTATATCTTCATTTCGGAAGGCAATGGAGATTGTGGTACCTGAGCTGGCTGAGATGCGCTTGGCTCATATTGTTTCAATTGGTTCTGAATCATTATGCTCATTAACTCCTGACTGTGAGGATGGGTATGTTTCTTTACCTTTTTGTAGGTTTCTTTAGTTGCATGTCAGATTGGTTTTCCCACAACTTTTTTCGCTGCATCCACAGCCTCAAAGGGGAAATAACCATTTCTCTAGCAAGACTCTGGGTTCAGCCAAAAAGAATGTGGAAAATGATGACCAACTTTCTATTGTTTTTGAAGGATTATTTCATAATTTGGACTAGACTAGTGATATACAAACAAAACTTTTACACTGAATTTCTATTCAAAATGATTTTGGATTATACAGTTTGCTCTTCTCTCTTTGTTTAGGAAAGATGGGAAACTTACTTACGACACTCGCACTAATCTGGCCCTTTTCCGGTCATTCTCAGCTTCAGACTATGTTGCTGCCCAGCGTCTTAGGTGAGGCAAAATTTTGTCAGCTTAAATGAAATATTAACTGGAAACATGCAACTGCAAGTTTGTAGATGACTTAGATGTTACTGTATTGCATTCTTTTTATTGGGTTGTTAGTAATAATGACTAATGGTTTAGCTGTTTGAACTAGGATATCAACACTTCACAGTTTTTTATATTTAAAATGTAGTAAATATTTATCTAAATTACATGTTCATTTTTTTATCTTGTTCTTCTCTTTACAGTCTTTAGCAAGAATGCTGGACCCAAAAGGTGACAAACTAATGGATGATGTGGCTTTGAATGGGTAGATTAAGCAGAAACTAATGGGAGATTGGGTATTTCTTGTTCTTACACTGTCAATTATGGTTTAAGCTGTTTGAAGTAGGATATAGGCGTTTTACAGTTTTATACCTTCAAATGTAATATACTTTTCTAATGTTGATGGTCAACTTTTTCCTGTTATTTTTTTCATTAGTCCTCTAACAATAATGTTCGATCACAAAGCTAACAAACTAATGGAAGATTTGGCTTTAAATCTGAAGATTTACATAATGCAATGCAATCTGTGCATCTAACCACAAAATAGGTGGGTTAAGTTTGGATGGCAATGATCAAGATAATAACATTAAAATTTCTGAAGCATTTTCTCAATGCAAAGTTTCTCTTTACTGAAGTGTGCAGCTGAAGTAAAAAAAAAAAAAAGCTTTTTTAAAAAAGCGAAGTTTGTGAAGAAAGGTGGAATATATAATGATTCATTGTGATAGATGGTTCTCGTTCATCCATTGGAGATCAATGGTTGCATGGTCTAAATAGCAGTATCAATCTAGGTAATGGTTGTGGTGTCAGTGTAGTGTTATTGGGTGTATTGGTTATCTAAGCTGTGAATTTACGCTTTTCAATATCCCTTTAAAACTAAGCATATTTATTATCAAGATCCACTTTATAAATACTAACAATTCTAGTAAATTTTAGCCACGTAAAAGACTTCTCAAGAACATTGTGCTGTATATTGATTTCTTTAAGCATTAGGAGAATTGTGTGGGGGGGAGTCACTAGAAATACTTTTCATTATTGGTTGCTCTCTACTTTTCATGATTAAGGTGAGATTCAAATTGATAGATCATCAGTACAAACAAATGTTGTCAAATATCCATTGTTGGTGCAGCTGAATAGTGCACAAGTGACATAATATTTGACCTATCAAATTCTAAGAATTGAGCTCATATCTTGCTACTAGAGGTGTGGGCATTCACTACGTTTTTGGAATTTAAAATAATTATGGCAGTTTTTTAAAGCACTTAAGATCTGAGAATGTTGGGGGGGGGGGGGGGGGGGGTTTAGGTATGTAGAAGTTATGGCAAAGCTTTGATACCTGAAAGTATAGGTCTAGCTTATAGTTTTTTGAGTGGAAAAATTGATGAAAAATGAGATTTTTGGAAGCGTTAGGTACCAGTCAAATTCATGTTTTATGACACACGTAATTCCGCCATAATGAATTATAACAATTGATATGGGATGGAACAGTATGTAGTGGCCAATACTCCTGTGATTTTCAATCCCACAGATATATGTAGTATTGGAATCCTACGTAATGTTATCTAAATATTAGAATGCTGTAATGTTTCGATCATTGAACATGAAAGCTGGAATCATTGTTTCTCTTTGCCACCTTATCCTGTAGTTTATCTTGTTTTTTGTGTTATATTCGGCTCAACTATATGGTCAATATGTGTTGGTATTTTCACCAGAGTACGCTCTACTTGGTATTAACATCTTCTGTTCAAAGATTCTTGGCAAAATATAAGCATTTTGTATAGAATCTTATTTGCTGGAAACATACAAGATTACTCATGTCCCAGTTTATTTTGTCAACCGCCTGTGTCAATTTTATCTTTACTTTTCACAGACGAAGGTTAATGTACCACCACATGGAGATCTTCAAGAAGGTTGATGTCATAGTGAACTGGGTATGAGAAGCTCACCTGTTTATTTTAAGCATAATTTTGGAATTAGGTTCATGTGCTTGACAATCCATATACTTAGGCCTTTCTCATTCCAGGTTTTGGCTCCTCTTTTTTTTTTTTCTTTTTTTTTTTCCAGTTTTTAACTTCATTTGTTTTTATTTATTTTTTTTAGGTTTTACTATTTTATTTGTTTTTTTTCCCCTTTCTTTTTTTGGGGTATGGTATTAGTTCAATTGTTATATAAATCATATAAATACAGGTTTTCATGTTTATATCGTTGCATATCGCATAAACATCTATATTATGAGCAAGAATTATTTTTTTTGTCTCAGCAACTTTATTAAGTTGAGTTTGCCAATTGTTTTTTTAGTAGTTTTTTTTTTTTTTTCTTTTTATTTTAGTAGCTTTTTTGCTTGTTTAGAATCTAGAAAAGCTGATGCAATTGATAATTGTTGATTTTTTAAATATTTTTTAGTGAGAATTACATCCTAGTGATAAATATGGAGGTGTGCAAGCGACACTTTTTTTTTTGTTTTTGTTGAAGTGCAAGTGACACTTGCACCCTTAGGCCATGTTTGTTTGTTTTTTTTAAGTGTTAGTGACATTTGCACCTCCACAGTTTTTCACTTTCACCCTACTACAGAATAACTTCCACCCCATATGTTTTTCTAATTTTTTTTCTCTATCCCACTGTGTTGTAATTCTCCCTATTTGTTATGGGAAGATAGTTTTGTGGGTCTTTTTAAACTTCAATTTTTTGGTGGGAAATTACCATATTATTCTAACCATAACCAAAGGAACACCGTGGAATTTCTCAAAGTATTGAGAGTAAAACTGTAGCTATAGAAATCTGCAGAGATATTGAAAAAAGAGGAGTTTCTATTTATGCAACAAAATTCTCTCCTTAGTCCTATTTGTTTTTACCAGCATGACAGCACCTGTAATACCTCCAAAAGCTCTTGAATCTGGGGAGTCAAATTTGGAAGTTTCAGGTGAGTTGGCTGTCCTTCGCAACTTGCTCCATGAGAAAGTAATGTTGCCTTTTTGAATCTGAATGTCATTCTTTGAATTGCCTTCTAGAATCACCTTTGAATCTTTGATGAATGTAAGTTGTGATGTAAAAAAGTTATATTTTTATCCCACTTTAGAGAGGTAGTAGGGCATGCAACCAATCTGCCACCTGCAATAGTAGAGTAAGTTTACATACACAATTAAACTACAGAAAAAGTATCAAGAATGTAAATGTCAGCATGATAAGGCCCATTTTCTGGTGAAAACAGCAAATTATAACTTTTAGTGGGCCTCATCGTGGTAATGTGTCTATTCTTGATTTTTATTTTTATTTTTGCTATTGGTTTAATTTTATGCATGTAAACTAACTCGTATTAGTAGGGTTGTTCAATGCACAAGATGGTTGTTTCAGCCAGTTGCAAGTGCTTCTAGTTGATTGCATTGGCATTAGCTTTTAGAATTTTGGCACTGATTGCAAGTGCTCCTATTTTTACCATGCAATTTTGTGTAAGAACACGGGAGCCCTCTTGTATTTTTTACTTTTTTCCAGTCAGTAACAACGATGAAACTTTATTAAAAAAATGATTAAGTACAAAATGAGGACAAGAAGTCCACCAGAAAGAGAAAAACAAAAAGAGCAAAAAAATTGCATCTCTCCAATCCCTAGAAAGTCACTGATGCCCAGAAGCATGCCAAAAACCAAATTATTTTGTTCCTCTGAACTCTTGATGTAATTTTCCATTGCATGTAAAATCACCTCAGTTATCTTTGTGGAACTCTGTGTGGTATTATTTATGAGCTAGTTATGTCTCTTGTTAGTGTGTTGTGACTTTTTCAGTTTTTGCAGCTTTATGTTCTTGTAAAAATATTTTATGTTTGCGGTGTTATTTTCAGGTAATCTCATGCGATTTGTTTTAGCAGCAAATCTTCTTGGACTCCCAGCCATTTCTGTCCCTGTAAGTTTACATGCATCCTTTTTTCTTGGCATTAAGACTTAAAAGTATTTCAACTAGGTTAACAGTATGTTTGGTTGGGATTTAACTTGGCGAGAAATGATAACAAATGATGAAAACACTTTCTCATGTCATGTGTTTGGTTTATAAATTAGGTGAGAAAAGATAACATCCTTTTTTTGGCCTATTTCATTTCTCACAAAAAATTTGTGAATTAGTGAGAAACAAGGTGATTGGTTATAAAATTTTGAGATTGTCCATTTAAAATAAATAAATCTCACTCATATCCTTCTTTCACATACTTTGTTTTCCTTTATCTGTCAAAATATGATAGTGATAAAATACAAATTTTTTTTTTTTCTCACCTAAATGAGAAACCACATTTATTTCTCTTCTTTTCTCACCAGGTTGAGGACCGGATCAAATTTATTTGAAATTTCATTTTAATTACTGTTCATTGTTGATGATTGTTTAGGTTGGATATGATAAACAAGGACTGCCGATAGGATTACAACTAATAGGCCGTCCATGGGCTGAAGCTTCAATTTTGCGTTTAGCTGCGGCAGTGGAGGTATATCAATTACTGTTATTGCAGCCTTTAAATTGTGTTTTATAATAATAATAATAATAATTTGAGAGTCTGTAAAGCCATTTATTGCAACTTCTACTTACACCTCATGACTAAAAGTGACTTAAACAAGATTTTAAAATTAAAAAAGACAAAAAAAAATTTAAAAAAAAAAAAAAAACAATTAGCTAACAGCTGGAAAAAAGGGTGTTGATTGATTGCTGTCTTATAACTTTCAATAAGCTGCACAAAAGGCACGACTAGCACCACTATCCCATCTGTAAGTAATATGCAAATCTTGCCATTTCCAGGAACTCTGTTCTGAATCTAAGAAGAGGCCTCAGTCATTTTATGACATTTTACTGGGAACTAAAGAAACCAACGAGGGGTTCACTTCATGCCTGCCACGCACACGGTTTACTTGCTTTGGAATCTCGAGCCTGCTCATGGCAATGGCTGTCCCTTTCATATCATGTTTGAACATTACATTTTGTATATATTCTTTACCTTTTATCAAACTTCAATTCAATTATACAAACCCTGCTCAACGAAGATTATGACGTGTAAATTACAGGTTGCTATTAGCTGCAAGTAATAAATAAATTGGTGGCAACGGCAGTCCCCTTCAGTGTGTTTTTCGCCAAATTATCCATGAATGCTGGGCCCAAGTAGATGGCATTCTTAAGTATTAACCATACTCAACAGTTCTAACTATAGTTACAAAAATAGAATTTTAGGTATCATACCTTTAAAAAATTGGAAGTATTAAGTTAATTTCAATGGTAAGTAAAAAGTTATAATACTACCTTCTTCATCTCCCCCACCAAAGGAGCTGCCTGAGAAGTGAGCTAAACGAAAGCCCTGTGTAATGACTGTCGAATCTTTTTAAATCCATAATGGCATAACAAAAGGAATGCTTGTGATATTCGGGAATATTCGAATCATGTGGTCAATACATTCACCTTGAAAGCTAATGAATTGGATGTTCTTTACATATCCAGAATTGAGCTTTGGCTTACTTCAAGTTCTTCTCGTCTACACCATCACTAGGGAGATCAGGACCAGGGGGTATCTTTCCTGGATAATTAGTTGTTGAGGGGTCTGATCCTGACATGCTGGAGGATATAAGAGAAATCAAAATCGGGACCCCGAACAACCAAGAGGAATTCATATAGCAGCCAATCAATTGAGAACTTTACCTTTTGTCCACAATAATCATAGAGCGAAGCTCGCAATTTGCAAAACTGCAGATACATGTTGCAAAAGTCAATCAGGTGAAGACTACGATGCTAATTTTTCTGTTACTTCTTTTCCATTTTCAAATCTTAAATAGAGAAGAATATTACAGAAATGAATTTGCACCAAGTTTACAAGTTTTAGAAGCAGATTATGGAAATGATTGCTAGCTCACAGAATAATTTTGACTTTTACTTTTGTTCTGTTTGAGTAAACAATGTTTAGCATAGAAAAGAAAGTAACCACATACATAAGAAATTGAGAAAAAGCGTATGCACAATAGTGTTTCATCTTTCTAGTCAACAACTTACAGTATATCAAAACTAAGCATTATTGAGTACTAGTTTTTTTTGTTTCAAGAAAAACAATTCTAGCAATGGAAATTTTGTTTTTGTTTTTTGTAGTGTTGTGTTTTGTTTTGGTTTTTTTGGTGCCTATCAAAGCAGAAGAAAATAATAATATCCATGTTTCTATAGGAAGAGTAAAACAAAAATATTAGCCACCTTGGAGAGAAATTTTTAATGAAATTACAGGCTCTAACCTTTGACCAAGAAAGAGAGAGAGAGAGAGAGAGAGAAGTTCTAACCACCCAGATGAAAAGAAAATCAATCCTTCACAAAGACAAGAACTCACATGGTCTTGCAAACAATGGGTTCATGGATACTTACTGCTTGCAAATTTCTTTCTTAACCAAAGGGTGACAGTCATTGCCGAATGCATTTAGTGTGTGAAACAAGAATCCACTATGTGTGATGATGGCTATCTCCTTTTCTTTCCGTGTCCACAACCTGTATAGAATAAAAGAAATTGTCAATAAGGTGGCTCAAGTTCTTATTGTTTTGCATAAAAAGGGCAAGACTTGAGTTCTAACAAAGTTTCACCACAAATTAAACATCCTGATGAATACACCAAATTATGAGAAAAATAGTTGTACGAACACATATAGAAGTTGTTTTGGGGGGGGAGGGGAATTAACCATACTAAACCTTCGAGTCCCACTCAAGTGGGGTCAGTAAGTGGAGGGAACAATCTATCTGGTAAATCAACAAAACAATTGTAACTTTTATTTATTGGGAACCATTTAAATACATGTTCCTCACTAACTGAGACGAAAATTACCCACCAAAAATAAATAAATAAATAGATATGAAATGGTGCTACACATACAGAATTATAGATGTTCTTGTGAATGATGAGTTGAAAAAGACATGTACACCAGACTACCTAATGCAATAGAAAAAGATAAGAGTCAAGCTAAGTATACAACTTGGGACAACACAAAGGGATCTGTGTTCTTCAGGTGGTTACAGAGAATTATTATGACAACACATTGAGCATCTTGTGCATACATTTAGGCACCAAAAATGAAATTATCATGTGACGGCCAATACACAATTTAATGAAACACTTTTTGCCATGACAGCACCTTTTTCATACTTAATAATTTAATATTGAAACATGAGAAGACAATCGAGGTAAAAGTCTTGGGGTCTAAAGTTTCATGGGCAATCTTTAATTCACATGTATCTGACTAAAGTACTTTTAAAATGCATTAAAGGATCCAGAAAGAATCAATAAATCCACTTTATTGACATGAATATCAAAAGGTATTCACCAGTTCATGAACTCCATTCCCCTAGCTGCAAGTTCTTCCTTTGTCTCTCTTATATTGGCTTTCCATAATAAATCATCGTCACTTTCTATCTAACAAAGTCAAAAGGTATTATGAATGTAATAGGACCATGCTTGAATATGTTCAATTGATAGTAATGATAGCATTGCAGACAAATGTTTAGTACCACTTTACATAAGCATTACTAATATCAAAATACTTGCCAGTGAAAAATCCACCGCTGGAAAAAGGCATTGATAGTCACTGATGCTTCTCCTCCTATCACAAGGATGAACACCCTGCAAAATTATTTTAACCAGGTTTAAATCTTTTTTTCATATTTGTTTTTTTGGGGGGTGAAAAGAAGCACACCAGATATTACATGCCAAGATTAGCAAGAGTTCTAGAAGCTTCAGTTTTAACCTTATAGAATTAATAAATATGGACACCGAACTACCTCTATAGCAAGAAAAATCAGGGGTTTCTAACAATTACCCAATCGAAGGCGAAGCAACCCTTGCCAACTCACTCATATAGGTTACATCACATCAAAGCCTCACATGTGAAAGGAGAGAGAAAGAACTCATCTAGACGTTTTTAATCTCTCACAAAAGATGTATGCTAAAATTCATTTCGAACTAAAATCTACTTGGCCAGATTACACATGCAAATGACCATCAAAACCTCATCTCATGTACAACTGTAGTTCAACTTTTTCAGAAGAATATGCATTAAAAAGAACTATGGATAATCACATAAAAGGCTCACTCATATAGGTTACATCACATCAAAGCTTCACATGTGAAAGGAGAGAGAAAGAACTCATCTAGACGTTTTTGATCTCTCACAAAAGATGTATGCTAAAATTCATTTCGAACTAAAATCTACTTGGCCAGATTACACATGCAAATGACCATCAAAACCTCATCTCATGTACAACTGTAGTTCAACTTTTTCAGAAGAATATGCATTAAAAAGAACTATGGATAATCACATAAAAGGTTAATAATGAAACTACTGGAAACTAATGTCTTAATGCCCTGGTTTACTCATGCAAATTAGGAATGAACCCTAGTGCTGACAACAATACATTCAACCATCTGACAAGCATTTATGCATTTAAAAGAAGAATTACAAACAATTGTGCCATGTTTCGAAGTATTAGTTTTTCCTTTCCACACAGTGTCTGACTATCTTTAAAAACAGCTAATAGCTTTCTAAACTATCTACTAATATATAATTATATATTATCCCTCTCTCGCATAGCTTAGCTACAGAAGCTTTGACTAGCTCCCCCACAGATCTTTAAGGTTTTCTGTATTGGTCTTCATGCCAACTTTCTCCAATCACACCTACAAGTTTCAACTTTGCTACACAACTTACTATTCAGCCATCAACGACATTATAGAGAAGTGAAAAGAGAGACATGTTTAAGATTCCTTTCCTAATGTTACCTATTGCTGCAATAAAAGCAACATTCATATGGTGCTCAAACATAGTAGAAAAATAAACTACAAATTAAAGACACAAATATTTCTATACAAGACCGTACCAAATGTTCTCGACAAAGCTCTACTGCAATGATAGGTGGGGAATTTAGACTTGAAATTGCAGGACGGTCACTATTTCCTGCATTTGCCACCATTAGTGGTAATGCATCAATCTTGTCTGTATAGCCTTCACCACCAAATACTCCAACAGCTGTTTGCATAGTCCTGCAATGCCATAGTAAGTAACCATAATCCAATGCAAGAAATAAATTACCAAAGAATGCCTTATCTGACTTTAAAAAAATAAATAAATAAATAAATAATCCCAAAGCAAGAACATCCACACACAATATCTGTGGTTTGAAAACAAGGAATAAACAGATGAACCTACAACTCTGTTATTCAGCCAACATATTTTTATAAACAATAAAATTTCATTAAAAAATACAGCATCCACCCAAAAAAAAAAAAAATACTATACACCTTTGCATGTATCAAAAACCTCTAAAAGTCTAAGAATTGGTCAAAAGAAAGGTTATTCATCCAACATAACTGTTGTGTATTAACTAGAAGTTGATGGATTCACATTTCGGAAATTCAAATTCCTAATTAAATACTTCTAAGGCCTTGTTTGGAAAGCGATTGGTTTAGCCAAAAAGTCAAAAAGTTACTAAATTAGCCAAAAAGCCAACAACCCATACCAAAAAGTCAAAGATTCTTTTTTCTCTCTACTTTTTGCACATCTCAAAAACCTCTAAAAGTCTAAGAATTGGTCAAAAGAAAGGTTATTCATCCAACATAACTGTTGTGTATTAACTAGAAGTTGACGGATTCACATTTCGGAAATTCAAATTCCTAATTAAATACTTCTAAATGTGTTTTGTACCTTGTAACCAATTTATGGCCAAAAGCAAGCCTTTCCAACTGTCACTAAATCATTCAAGTGCATAACAGCGAAAGTCATTCTAGATATAATAGAACATTCAAGAACCTTTTCACATATCTACAAATATACTAACACTTTTCAAGAAGCATATTCACTTTCATGCAAGTAACTAAATTTTCCATCTTCCCAAGTCCTGACAATAAGTTAAGAAAACAATATTCAATTAAACAGTGACATTTTAGGCTTATCTAATAACTAGTGATAGAAAATTGTGTAGAATTAGAATATCATGTATAAAAGTACAGAAAACCAGCATTAATACCTTAATAAAGGGGACGTGATAACTAATTCAATGCTCTTAAAAAGGCCACATGATTGGACATGTTTACGCAAATTATCAACCTGTTACAGTAGTACAAAATTTTCACATTAGACTCAAAATTTTGCTCAGGAGTCAGGACTATATATGTAAGAATATACTTATTACAAGTTTTCCATTATTCAAATGAGTTTGCATAATAGCATAAAAATGATTGGTTTCCCACCTGCTGCCAGCCCAGTGGAGTAAGCTGTGCATCAAAATATTCAGGCGACATGTATGCTTTATAGTTCTTATCTCCATCTACATTGTGAATTCCTTGTGCATGCCTCACCTAGATGTAAGGTTTTATATAAGACAACAATGGCTTGGAAAGCATTTGCAAAAGCCAAGAAAGATAGTGGTCTTGAATGTCCTTTAAACAAAAGACATTGGATTGGGCAGCATAAAATATAGAAATAAAAAATGAATTTGACACCTACAATGTGAAGAGTTTTGCAACGGTGCAATGGGTACAAACTTGGACCTCCACTAATATCCATTTTTTAAACTGCATAAAACAAAAAGTAACTTTAAAAAAAAAGGCCATTAGCAAAATAGAGCAAGAGAACATCAAATATTCTTCAATTCTATAGGATATCTCAAAATGATTACTACGTAGCCACTTCTAAATTTACACATTTCAGCAAGAAAAAAAAAATTACAAGCTACTTTTAAAACAAGAAACCTTTTCAAAATTACTTGAAAACTAGTGATCAAGTTCAATCCAGTTAAAAAAAAAAATAGCAACACACAGATATTCTGCTTTACTTGGTGGTGCTTCCCCTCCACAATTTTCATGGATCAATAACTTACACCCTTTGTTTCGGATTCCAAGAACATCTCTATCCATTCTGAACATTAAAGCTTATATTGTCATGTCTAATGATGTAAACTTTTGCTCATCACTATCTGGAGTCCAGACTGCACAACTATTTATTCAACATAGGGTGATAGATTATACTCCATAGCAGAGAAGGGCAACAGGGGTGGATTTGTTTGGTTGGAAAGACAGACTGCGTTGATCAATCAAATAGCCCCAATTTGACAATTTTGGAACCTAGGCGTTCTTAACTAAAAATAGTTGAGGGAAGGGAATCGAGGAAAGGAGACACTTGCTGTGAAAGAAAAAGCTTCAATAATTTGCCTTTCATAAACCTAGGTCATATGGCCCATCCAATCCGAGAAATGCTCCAAAATACAACATCATACATGAAATTCATATTAGTCAATACAGATTTGAAGCTGCAACTAGCCTGGAAACAATGAGAATGTCAGGCATGGAAAATCAAGCAACATCAGACTGTATCATGGACCTATTGATTGCATAGAACAACGACGAATCAAAATGTGAATCGATCAACAGCTACAAATACTTCACAGCATTACTACAGATTAAGCCAGTAATAGTGTCCTCTGATCATGCCCAAACAGTTAAACCTAGTTTGAAATATCATCACAACCAATTCTAAATTCACAGTAATCCTAACCATAGAAGCAAATTCAAAAATCAAATCATGCAAAATGAAAACCGATAATTCCTTAATCATAGTCACTAAACCATCGTTACAATCTGGCAAATTTGAAACATGGAACACGAAAAAATAAATGCATTGAGAGCCGAGAAAATTTGAAAGCTAGGTTAGGAACCGTACATTTTGAAGTAATTAGGGTTTGGAAAATTTGTGTACCGGAGAGAGAAGAGGAGGAAGCACCGAGCGGAGAGACGAAATTATTGAGGTTTCGATGATGAAGATGCAGATAAGATAAGCTCCAACTTTGAACATGTGAGAGAGAGAGAGCGAGACTAGCACACCACCAGTGAGTGAGTGGTGTTGGGTGATAGTCCTTGAAGTGCCTCAGACACTGACGGGACTGAGAGCTGAGGCCTCGTTTGGCAACTGAGTTTTTTAGTCAAAAAAATTAAAAAATTATTAAATTAGTTAAAAAGTTAATAATTTATATCAAAAAGTTTAAAAAAAAATAATTCTTTACTTTTTATACATTTTTTTGTAAAAATTTAAAAAATCATCTCAAACATACTAGTTTTTTTTAGCGCATATTTTAGGTAAATAGTTAAAAAATTATTAAATTAGCCTGTTTCCAAACGAGACCTCATTCCACTGGCCATTTCAGTTTTATTTTTGGAAGAATATAAAAGGTTGTTTGGGGTGTCCTAAATAAATGTATTTTTTGTCATTTTGAACTAAAAAATTGAGGAAAAAAAATATAGATGTTTGAGTTAATTTTTTGACTTTTTATCAAAAAATATGTATAAAAAAATTGTATAAATTAGTGTGCAGGGAAAAATTAAGATTGAAAATTGTGCAGTCGTAATTTTTAACTTTTGATAAATAGTGATAATTTTTTAACTTTTTAAGTAATTTTTTGACTTTTTAACCTTTTTTTTAACTTGCCAAACTTAACCCAAATGGAGAGATGCAACTTGCACCCACACCACATACACTGTTTGATTTCCATTTTTAGAATTTACGTTTTCAAATTTTTTATTTTTTTGTTTTCCTATTTTTTATTTTATTTTTTTTTTGTATTTTCTTTATTTTTAAATATACCTAATATAAATATAAATATATGCATAATATTTGTAAAAAAAATCAAAAAATTATTAAATATCAAAAATACAAAAAATATCTATATAATAAGGGAGAAAGGTTTTTGAATTTGTCTCAAAATGTATGAGAGATACATTTTATTTCAACAGCTGAGATGATTTGTTTTTAACCATTAAGGGCTAAGATGGTTTGTGATATTTTCAACATCCCGCCCAAAACAATCCTCTCTCTCCTGCACCCAAACGTTATTTGCATACTTTTTCTCTCTCTCTCTCTCTCCAACTTCTTAGGTCTCTCTCTCCCCTCAGAGATCTCTCTCTTCCTCTCCCTCCTCTCCACTCTCCACTCTCCACTGTCGCTTCGCTTCCATCGTTGCGTCGCCTCCGATCTCCACCGAAAGCCACTATTCTCCCTCCCAGATCTCAGATCGTCCTCCACCGTCGAGAGTTTGATGAGTTGGCCACCATGTCTTCCCGAAGCAAACGTAGAGAGATGGTGAAACTGTAAGTCTCCAATTTTAATTTGCTGTAAACTATTTTAATTTGTTGTGGTTGTGATTTCTGAAATGGGTTTGATTGGTTTGATAGGTTTTGATTTCTGAAATTTGAAATGGATTTGATGGGTTTAATCTACAGAAATCCGTAGAAATTCATATACTAGAGTATACTCTCTCTGTAGATTTGATGGGTTTTGATTTCCGGCTTTGCCACTTTCCGCTCATCCCCGTGAGTTTAGGGCTAGTTTGGCATGTACTAAATAAGCCAAAAAGTCAAAAAGTCACTATCTTATTTAAGTCACATCATCTTATTTAAATCGTATCACTTCTCTAACACATCACATCAAACCCAACCCAAACCCACCAATAAGTCAAAAAGTGCACTTTTTTAGGACATCCCAAACCAACCCAAGCATGAATATAGATATTCTCCATGAAATGGTATGCTCTTTTTCCACAATTGTTCATCTAGAAGAAATGTTCTGCAACTGATGATGAATATACACGATATACTTGAAAGTCTAGAATGAGTTGGATGACAAAAGGACAATACAAGTTATACAACTTCCAAATACATAACAGAAGGGCCCATTTGCACAACATAAATACTGCTAATTTATATACAGAAGGGCCCATTTGCGTACACTAACCCTTCTCCCGCTAAAGCAGGAGCTTCAAGCACTGGGTACACCTTTTTTACTTTTTACGTCCTTAAATGTGGGATAAGTGTTAAAATTGTCAGATTATTAAACTCTAAGCTAGCTTGGTTATTAGCAAAACCTTGAGTCGATATATACTCACAAAACAGTCATTCGTCGACCTAACTCTCGGAGGGAAAAGGAATACCATTTGTTGAAAATTGAACCAAGTCTTAAATGGCATATGATAAAGAGAATTAAGGCTAAACACCAAGAAAAATTTAAGCCAATATCTTTTTTATTTTAATTTTTTTTTTAATTGACAAGTGGAATTCAAATACCGTAACAATCCAACAAATAGTAATGAACCAACATTTATATGGCCTGACACACAAAGCTACCTATGTTATTAGACTCATTCCAATGATTTAAAATCTCAGTTGAAAGAATGATTTGCTTAGTTTCAACCATAAGGGATAGGATATGTGGAGATCTAAGTTCATTTTCCCCATGTAGCGTCTTAAAGTACTTGGCCAACATAAATAAGTAAATCATGCCAAGAAGATCTAAGATAGTTAAGGGACAAGAAGAATCTGTCCACTTAGAAATACAAGAGCAATGGAAAGAATGATTGCAGATAGTTATGAGAATTCCACTCATGTCTTGCTCCAATCTCTCTGCAACAAAGAAGAAAAATAAGTGAAATCCAAACTGTAAAGCTACAGATCAACTTCCTATTCCACAACTTCAAGTGGCTTGAAAAAACCTTAAATAAATCAATGTAGTTAATGACGGAAACAGATTAGCAGGATTTTAAATAACCCTGATGAGGTTTGGATTGGGCCAAACAACTGCACTATAGAATTCTTAAATATCAATTCCTATACCAGCAGAGATTCCTGAGGTCTGAATAGAAAATACTAATTACTCTAAGTACATCACTAACCATGAAACAGAATGCAAACCAATAGACCCCATTGCCTTTTAACCTGGAGGTAGATCCAAAAGTGAAACGAGAAAATACCAGACAAAATAAAACACTCAGCAGATTACAGTTAATTCTTATTTTATTATTTCTTATCTATATAATGAGGGAGAAAGGTAGATAAATTTGAACTCAAAATTTAAATTAGGTTTAAATTGGGTTATCTTAAAAAAGTGATCATGAAAGTGAATTTTGAGAAAGAGAAGAAATAATGGGAGTGGTGTGATTTGTTCAAAAGCTAAAAAAAAGAGTTTTTTTATTAATAGAATTTTGACTTCAAATCTATATAATAAGATAGGAGGGTTTTTGAAAATGCATAAAATGTATCAGAGTTACATTTAATTTCAAAGGCTCAGATCAACTCTAATAAACATCAATGGTTCAAATCAATAGATGATTTCTGCCCAAACAATTCCCCCCGCCTTTCCACCTACCCACGTCTCCTCCCTACCTTCCCTCTTTATCTTACTCTCCCTCTCTGTTCTTCTTCTGGATCAGTTGAAATCTGATCTAGGTTGAAGAAAAAAAAGCAAGAGAGAACAATCACAGGGGAGAGCAAGAGAGAAGAAGCAACGAAATCGTAGGGGAGATCAATCTCGGAGTTGGCTAGGGTTTCCGATTGAGCAAAAGAGAAGAAGCAGCTGTCAAACTCACCGAGTTGGCTCCTCGGTTCCCTACCACCAACTTCACTACCACTACTACATCGACGCCGCCGTCTTCTTCTCCTCCCTCATCGTCTTCTCTTTCTCTCTCTACTTCGAACCCCCATGGGAGCTCTCTGGTACCCCTATATTATATATATATGCTTCAAGTTTTTTATTTTTAATTTTAGTTGGATAAATTGGCCCTGTTTGGTACAGCTTAATTTCAGCTTATTTCAGCTTTCAGCTTAATTTAAGCTATTTTGATGTGTTTGGTTTAGCTTATAGCTTATAGCTTATAGCTTTGTGGAAGTCAGAAAACAGTTTATTCTTTGAGTGGGGCAGGAGATGCTTTAAGAATAAGCTGGAAATCAGCTTAAGCTGAAAGTTATAAGCTATAAGCTGTTTAGGCATAAGCTATAAGCACTTTCCCACAGCTCTACCAAACAGGACTATTGTTGTTTGTTGGTGGAAGGTTATCAAAGAGACAACTGATTTTTAAATTGTAGCTCCTCGCATTTTAAATTGTAGCCAATTCAAAGGTTATCAAAGAGATAGCTTTTTTCTTGGTTAGTAAATCTTTCTCTTTCTCTCTTTATATGGATGTGTCTGTTAATATTTTTGTGATATATCATAGTTTCTTGGGTGGAAGCCACATTGATGAACTTTGATAACTCCTTTTGGCTCTAAATAAAAATTGATATTGTAATAGTGTACTGAAATATGCTTCAATTTTTTATTTTTAATTTTAGTTGGATAAATTGTTGTTTGTTGGTGGAAGGCTATCAAAGAGACAGCTGATTTTTTAGATTGCAGCTCCTCACATTGTGAAGCTGAAGATATCCATGTTATAACCAATTCAAAGGTTATCAAACAAATAGCTTTTTTCTTGGTTTGTAAATCTTTCTCTTTCTCTCTTTAAATAGAAATTGACGTTGTAACTGTGTACTGAAATGTATATATTGAAATTTTTAACTGTAGGGGCGAAGTTTCAAGATCAAAAAATGTACCCATGTGTGCTCCCTACCACAATTAGAGGGACTGTGTGTACTGAAATTTCTTTCATGAGTTGGCATATCTAAGTTTATACTTCAAAGAAATGTACCCATGTGTGCTCTCTCACTCTAAAACTCATTAATGTACCAATGGTTGCTGATTTTGTTTTCAAGCGCTAAAATTTTTCTGTGTTTTCGTTCTCTTCTCATTCTTATTTTATTATTTTTTTTATAACTTTGTTTTTAACTCCATGAGGAGTTATCTTTGTTTGCTGCAGCATTGTCATCTAATTGTGATGATATAATAGATTTTACTTGCAAGAGTGATTGTGTTTTTCATGTTAAAAAATTGTCACTCACAATGGAGGGTTGAAACAGTGATTGTATTTTATTTTATCTTTTGGTCAGAGTGATTGTTATTAATTGCTACTTATTGTCTGTTGATAGGAATCATAGATGAAGGGAAAGATATGTATCAGATTAGATA